CTCTGCTTGTTACTTGCTGGTGACCTCTTGGATTTTGTGCTGCCTCTCCTCACATGTTGTATGCATATTATCTGTGCTTCTGTTATTGTGGCTTTGAGCAATCTCCAAGCATTTCAAGGAGATTTAACCCTCTTGAATCCCCTCTTCAACTTCTTTCTTATCAGTTCCCTCATTTTAGAGGAGTTTCCTCTTTTAAAGTCAAACACAACTGTGTTAGACCTTTTTGGCAATCTTCCACCTAATTGTATATTAAATCTGATAGTGCTGTGGTCACTGTTCCGATAGGTTCAACAACATTTACATCTTGTACTATGTCCTGGGTAAGCTCACCCAGGATTAAATCCAGGATTGCCTCACCTATGGTTGGTTCCATGACCATCTGCTCTAAGGCATAATCATTTAGGATATCACGAAATGTAACCTTTCTATAAGAACTTGACATACATTTTAACCATTCAATGTGTAGACAGTTGAAGTCAACCATAATTATAGCACTGCCTTTGTTTGAAGCCTCCCTGATTTCATTTTCCATCTAAGATCAACCTGAGTATTCTGGTCTGGAGGATGATAGCATACTCCTACGATTAAATTAGTTTTGGAGCCAGGAATCGTCACCCATAGAGTTTTTGTGGAGGAGTCTTCACACTTTAGAATATCAAGTTTGCTCAATTTTATGAAAGTGAAGAGCAACACCTCCTCCTTTACACACTTCCCGGATCCTAGGTGGGATGGATTTAACCCTTGAACTTGAGTTTCTTCACCCTACACATTATCTTCACTGCTCAAAATCTTCTGGAGAGGGAATGCGACTCTAAGAAAGCTGGCAGAAAAGTCGTCGTCTTTCATAAAGCACATGTCAGTCTGATGGCTCGTGCATTCTTGAATATTAAAAAAGTAAATGAAGAAGGCACAAGATAATAGTTGCAGCACAGATGGGCTGAGCACAGTGCAAGGGTGAAGGCCTTAATTGATGTGATTAACTGGAGCCAGCCAGCCAGGCTCGGCTCTGAGCTACTCCACTGCCTGCATCCTGTTGCAGTCTTCTCCACCCTTTCCTCTTCTGAAGGATGCTATGCTGGAACTGTAGAGTGAGGGCAGGAGAGCAGGGAAATCAACTTGTATAATTTCCTTCCCACTGAAATGATCTTGCTAGAGAAACAGACTGGAACTCAGGTATTTTGAAGATGTGCAATAGGAGGTTCCTGGGAATGAAAAATACTGCATGATGGAAGCTTCTTGAAGCTATGAAGGACTCTTCATTTGTATTTCTGTTATTGTATAGTGGAGCAAGCAAGAGATCAGGCATAAGAACTGAGCCAAAACGTATTCTTTCTGAAAATGAAAAGGGATTGAAGCTGAAAGGATCCAGACAGAGTTCCAACCTGTCGGAACTGGATTGAGAAAAGCAATTTAACAAGGCAATCCTATACATGTGTACTCAGAAATAATTGCTAGTGAGTCAATGAGGCTTCCGCCCAGGTGAGTGGGCATTAGATTTTAGCCTCTGTTGACCATATGATAATCCTCTGGAATTAGCTTTGCCTGTAAAGATGAAATACAGAGAGAAAGGCATTATATTATCTGTTACACATCCTAAGTCTGACTTGGTATTGATCAATACCAAACAATATGTGCATTCTTAAAAACAGTGATTTAGGAATTGAAGAAATTGGGAAGGTGAACAAGATGTACAACCTTTTCCAGGGAATACAGAACACACCGTGCTCTTTATACAAGTGGACATGTTGCCATAGCTGCAAACCAGCCAGCTCTGTACTGCTGCATTGAAAGGTAGCTGCAATTCTGTTGAAAACGTTTTCCTGTCCCTGTATCCACCTTCTATTACTGTAGCTGCTTCCCCTGTGGCTGGTAAAGCCTTTTGAACAGTGTTTAGCTGCATAATTCCCATTCCACCACTAGTGTCCCATTTCTCTACCCAGCTGGTTTGCATACCACTACTTTAGCTGTCAGATACCAGCGCTTGGTCTGCCACAGCAGCATAGCTGTCCTACCCCTCTGTGCTAAATGATATCATGCGTGGCTGATGGATTTTGTTGCTAGAGGCTCCAGGGTTGAACTAATGTCTGATGTGATCATATATAGACGTTTTTAATGACTGGGCAAGGCAGTGTCACTGTAGCTATCATTCAGTTACCAAATAGCCACTAGTTTTAAGTCCTCCTTCTTGCACAAAAGATAACAGATACCATTCTCCCCCAGGAATAGTATGGCTCTTTCTGTACTATTCCATAGATTCACTTCCCTCTTTCCTTGCCACAATCCAAGTCCTTTCAGGGAGTGCAAGGCAGCATTCCCTGAACTGGAGCCTTTCAGATTGGTACCTTCAGTCATTCTGAAAGATCCTTCTCTAGATGCCACTGTCAGAGGAACGGGGCTATAAGCAAGAGGGCCTTCTCAGTTGTAGTGCTCCATTTATGGAAACTCTCCCACAAAGAGGCTCACCCAGGACCCTATGTTCTGTTTTCAGTGCTAGTCAAAGACCTTTCTTTTCTCTTGGAGATTTTAGAGAGTTTGAGATGTTATGGCTCTTCTTATAAATGTCTGCATTTAGATTTTCCTGGACTGTTTTGGCAATTTGTATTATATTATTTTAACTGTTTGTAATTGGGCGGAAAACCTTTGTTATTGCACAGATTAAAAATAAAATACTTATAATATGTTTAGGCCTTGTCTCAAAAGCATGTACAACTGCGTTCCTGAAACTGGGCTCTTCCAGGTGTTTTGGGTCCATAAGCCCCAACAAGCACAGCCAGTTCTTAGAGATGATGGGTGTTGTAGGTTAAAACATATCTGAAGGAGCATCTCCTTCCATATGTGCCTGCCTGCCCCTTGAGATCTGGGTCAGAGGTCCTTCTTTGGGAGCCCCCCTTGAAGGAGATTAGGAGGGTGGCTACCCGGAGAAGGGTCTTCTCTGTGGTGGTGCTCCAGCTATGGAATATACTCCCCAGAGAGGTCTATCTATTGCCACTTTATTCTTTTTGGTGCCAGGCCAAAACCTTTTTATTTTCCCAGTATTTTCAGGTTTAGATTGTGATTTTAATTGGGGGTTCATTGTACAGAATTGATGCTGTGCTTTACTTTGTTTTATTCTAAGACCGTCCCTAGACTATTTGGTAATGGACAGTATGGAAAAGTTGTAAATAAAATCAAATAAATAAATAAAAACATCTGAAGAGACCGAGGTTGGGGAAGGCTAGCATACAATAAAACATATTATTTTTTAATTCAGGTGTAGTTGTTGCAGTAGTCCACATTTGTTAAAATAGTAGAGAACCCTTTATCCACAAAAGTAGATTCCAGGGAGTTATACAAAGATAGAATGAATGTCAAAAAACGGCATAAAATAAACATCAAGGCATAAAAGTGAAAGGAATAAACCAAATCAGCAGCTAAAAATGTACAGACAACATTAGAATGACCAAGCAAATAGAAACATTTAGATCTGACAACTAAGGAATACACAGACAGAATACAGACAGACAGAATACACTGTAAACAGACAGAATATACTGTATTCTGTCTGTTCATACACAGACAGAATACAGTGCCTTGCAGAAGTATTTACCCCCTTCCCTGACTTTTCCACATTTTATTGTGTTACAATCTGGAAGTGAAATTGAGTTAACAGATTTACTTGAGTACACAAGATACCCACCACCATGGTGCAAAATATTTTTTATTTTTAAATAGAAACTGGTGCTGATTAGTTGCATAAGTATTCATTCCTCTAAGTCAATAAGTGGTAGAAGCAACAACTGGGTAAATTTTGCCGATCTGAATCCTGGATTCATTCTTACAGGCAAAAGTGCTATCAGGTGGGAGGGCAGCTTTCAAGTCTTGCTACAAATTTTCAGTCAGATTGGCAAATGGACTTTAATTGAGCCATTCTATGACATTCAAGTCCTCGCTTTTAACCACTCCAGTGACAATCTGACTGCATGTTTAGTGTCCTTTTCTGCTGGAAGGTAAACCTCCACCCCATTCCCAGGCCCCTTGCAAACTGGAACAGTTTTTTCTCTAGAAGTGCTCCATCCATCTTGCCCTTGGTGCTCACCAACTTCCCAGGCTATGCCTAGAAAAAGCATCCCCCACCTCCCGCCTTGGCAATATGATGCTGCCACAACTGTTTTTCATTGTGGTGATGGTATTCTAAGTGCTTTTGGCTTTGTACAACACATAGCATTTTACAGGTTTGTGGAGCATCTTGGTGATAGCTATCCCATGGACAATTTCTCCCATCTCAGTTGCAGGTTTCTCCAGTTCCTTCAGAATTGATTGGCTTCTTGGTTGCTTCTTTAATACTGTCCTTAAAGACTCACTAAGTTCTCCAGGCAGAATTGTGGTTGAGACACATTAAGAATAGATTTAATGGCGCTCTGAGGAATGTTCCTAGTTTAGAATGTTTCTATGAGCCCAACCCTAATTATTGTTTCTGCACAACTTTATCCTAGTATTTTTATAGCTTCTTGAACTTTAAGATTCTGTTTATTTATATATGCTCCCCAACAAACTTGAGGCTTTTCTGAAACAGGTGTATTTCATCTGAGATCATGTACCAGAAGTATTTACACACAGGAGACTTCCAGTTATGTAAAGTGCTGTGTATGACTTCTGAAAGCAGTGGGTTTCCCCAGAATTTATTTAGGGATTCCACAGCAAAGTGGGTGAATATTTAACCAACAAGTATTAGTTTGTTTTTGTTAACTTTTGTGCTACAATAAAATATTTTGCACCATCACAGTGTTGCATACATCAAGTGACAACAATGCCAATTGAATCTACTTCTGCTCCAGGTTGTAACAGAACAAATGTGAAAAAGTCCAATGGAATGAATACATCTGGAAGGCAATTAGTTGTGTTTCTTTCATCTTCACATAGTTGTGTGTGTGGGAGGGTGGGGTATCAAAGGGTCTCTGTAGAAGCTTCTTTGAGGGCAAACTGATATCTCACGATGTTTAAATGCATTTGTTTTCTTACAGGTATGACAAAAGGGAAGACCTTAAACCAGGTGACCCACTTATGTTCTCGTACACACATGTCCTTATGGAGATGGATCCTGTTCAAATGTCACATTACAAGACAACCCACAGAGTACTGGCCCACATACCTGGCACCAGTGGGATTGGACTGAATTTTACTGCTCTACCTCCTGTTACTTTAAACTTGAAATCTAAACTGGTATTGTTAGAAAAACTTCCTAGTTCTGGCACATAAATTTTAACAAATTTTACATACATTTGCCAATGAAATTCTATTGCACTAATTCAAAACCATATTGCAATGGCTGTAAATGATCAAAAGAACCCTCTTTGATACCATTAATTTCTCTTATGTGAGTGGATTGCACATATACACATTTATATTTAATGTCAACTGTAAATAATTTTCAGGCAATTGAACAGCTTGAAAATCACAATGCAGAAAACTCTGTATTATATTTAGATGTACGATCTAAAGTTACCTATTCAGAGATTCTAAATAATTTGTAGTATTTTATGTCATTCTGGTTGTTAGTTTCAAGGGTATATTATTACTTCCCCTCCACTGACTACTAAGTACCTTTTTTGTCATTTTTAAGACCACAACATCTAAACCCATTCTGGGCAGGTACACACGGCCTTGCTGCCTACTCTCTGCAGCAGTGCATGATTGTAACAGCCTGAGAAGACAGCCTGTCCTTCTGGATATACATTTACAAATGTCACATTTGAAAGCATCTACAACTGAAAAATCCAGTGTGCATACACCCAAACTATGTGATTTAACATCTTACACAGTATCTGGGAATTGCCTATATGATCTGTGCCTTTCTGTCTTGGATTTTGTATAGGGCACTAACTTGTTTATGTGTGTGGACTCCATGGCAAAATCTCTAAAGCAGGTTCTCTGTCTTTATAGACTAACAGTTGTGGAGTATAACACAAAGGGGAAAAATAAGTTGCCCTTGAAGATGTTAACAACAGGCACTAAAACACAGATCAAGAGAAGAATAGTATACTGCATTGCTGACAACCTGTCCTTACTTGAAAATGTTTTAATGGCAGTAAGCTGCAAGAGGCATTCTAGTTGCAAAAGTAGAAACTTGGTTAATAAGAGTCATTCAGCAAAATGATCTGAGATAAGTTTTCTGTACTTTCTTATTCATGTTAATTAAACTGAGGTGTTTACGTGGTAAAGCACATCCCAAACAAGCAGGCATACAATCTGATCTTTCAAGTCAAATGAGTGATTTTATCTAATTCTTTCAATGGTCACAATGCTGAACACTTGATACCTCATGAAAAGCCTTGAGGTGATACAAGTGCCCTGCTGTTGTGGCCTGCAGGCATTGAGGAACCCAGGATTGATCTGGCCACAACAGATGTTATGCAAATATACTGCTTCAAATTACTCTTACAATACTGAGTGTAGTCTGGCAAGGAATGAGTAGGGTGCAGATGTATCTGGATGGAACAAATACCAGCCTGTAAAACCGGTTCATCCACACTGTCCTGCAGTTTCCTTGCCTATTATGTCACACATTTAATCAGTTTTATTGTGCTTCAAAGGGAATAGCACAATGTATTTAGGTATTCAGCACAACTGGTGCCACTCAGGGTAGGTGAAACAGTAACACACACAGCCTTAAGCTTGGTGCCATAATCACAGTAGCCCTTATGCAGCACTGACATAAATATTAGGCACTGCTGTGTTGCTTTATGTTTCCAAGACATTGCTGATGGATGACTCTATTGGATTATTTCCTTTAAGCTTAAAACCCAACTCAGTACTGCTAGAAAAACATCCTACACCACCTGAGATTTCTAGTTGTAGCCATTTTAAGTGAGGTGGGGAATACCTGGTGTTTTGAGTATATGCAAACTGTGGATAAATAGGAATATTAATATTTATGGTCTCATAAAAGCCACACCTTTTAATTTAGCTTACCTTCAAAAATTCTATTGTAAATCAATGGTTATATGCATGCAGATAAGGCTTTCCCTCCCTTCAGCTGAATTACTTCTTGAGTTCAACCTAAACTAAAAATGTGTACAGATATGTGTTGCTATGTCACACATTCTCCAAGTGCACATCTGTTCCTGACAAACTCTTTTACTTGTCAGGACTGTTAGAGCTGTGGGCTATGCTGTTATGTGCCGTCTGGTTGCCTCCAACTTATGGCAACCCTATGAATGAAAGCCTTCCAAAATGTCTTATTCAAGACAGCCCTGCTCTGCTCTTGTAAATTCAGGCTGTGGCTTCATGTTACACAGTTATCCATATCCTCATTTTGAGACTTATTATGCCTGGCTGTACCCTAAAGGCTACCTTTCTGTGAAGTCATTACCTGAAGAGGCTGAAACAGGATATTCTTCTGCTAAATTTGGAATATGAAGGCAGTCTCAATACCAGTCCTCACTCCAGCCAAGAACCAGTCAATATGCATATTCATGGAACAGCTGACTATGGAAAGACTTCGTGTCTCAAGTTGTGAAGGAGAGTTACCTTCGCAGGTAACCAGAATGTGTTGGACTATGTATATACAGGTGTTATGGACTTACAAAGTGCCATAAAGCTTATTAATTTAAAACTTTGAGTTAAAGTTGAGTTTTCTACTTCAAGAAATTGTCATCACCATAGACAGAAAGGAACCAGAAGGAGAGAAAAGGAAGGCCTCCAAAGCATCACCATAGAGAGGAAACGAAAGGGGAGAGAGGGAGCCCTCCAAAGCATGCCTTCCTTCTCTGCCCATCCAAAGAGGGAAATCTCTCCAGCATTTTCTTGCTGCAAAAAGGAGGCACTGGTGAGTTTGGGTGCCTCCCCAAGAGATACACAGTTTTTCCACTTTCACAAGGGTACTGCACCCCTAACCCCCACAAATGTGGAGGGCCAACTATACATGATCCAACTTACATACAAATTTGACTTAAAGATGAATTTCCATATTCTCAGGAACAGAAATAATTCAGTTACTGAAGACTGATCTTGATAAACGTGTCTGTGTGACCCACATTTTGGTTTGGCTTTGCACAGAACTCATTCATGATTGCTGTTGGAAATCACTGGCCCAAAATGTATGGCTGATAAAATTTCCCAAAATGCAGTGAGAAAACCAAACCAAATCATCACTTTCTGGCTAGTATGTAGCCTGCCTCATTCAGTAGCAACCACTGTGAGAACTTGCAATGGCAGCCATTAATTCTGAAAATAGGAAACTGCAATGAAAGTAAAGTGTAGCTCAAAATCTGCATCACTAAAACTGTTTGGACTGAAGAAAGAGTTATTGATGAGTTTTAAGATACATTTCTGTTTGCAAAAAGAAAGCAGTGGTTACTAAAATAGATTAGGTATTCAAACCAACACTTCAGGTACAGTAGCGTTGTCTATATGAGTTTTCAGATTATTTACTGAAACTGGTCAAACATCTTTTCCTCCCCTTCCCACAAAGGAGTAGGTAGAGAGCTAAGATGGGTTTACATCCACACCTACTCTCTTCATTCTGCTCAATCTTACGTTCTTCCTACACTGCCCTGATTTGCACAATCATCCATGCCCACTGAGGTTTCAATAAGCCACAGTGAGTTGTAGTGTGTCCCAGCCACCAATGTGAATATTCATGTAGGCCACCAAGTCAGGTGGGCTTGGTGGCTTGCCATGATGTGCAAACCTGGGTAGGGTGGCTCATTATTATGCCCAATAGAATGCTGGGAGTGTCTTGTTAATCATGGCAACAAGAATTTGGAGCAAATATATTTTGCAGTTTTGTTACAAAACTTCTCAGTGGTAGCCTCTCGCTCCCCAAACTTTCACTGGAAGGGCATCTGCAGGAACATTTTGCTGAGGGGATGGGAAAAGAAACAAATTTAATCTTCAGTTCAAAGGAAGAGCAACCACAGGAGAGAGAGGAACAGTGCATCCAAGAATAGGCCAACCCAGTTTCATAGATGCAGTGCAAACTTCTGTTGTTATATTCTCATCCATTTGGCCAACTTAATGTTCTCCCTTCTCCATTTCAATGTTTTTTTTTAGATTGTTAGCATTGTGTATTGTGTTTTTAGATTGTGAGACTAAGGTAGGAACTGTCTTATTACTGAAACCTGTAAACTGCTCTGGGAGTCTGACTGTAGAATAAGTAAAATAAACGTTAACTGATAGTCAATTGAAGCATAAAATGAACCTTGTTAACCAATAGCCAAATGAAGGCTGCCACTGTACAAGCAAAGCCAGTGTTCCTTCACTATGTCACAGCCAATCACTTTAAGAGATGTGAGTGCTTAGCTTAGATTTCATAGATTTGAACTGGAAATGTATTCCTGATCCTTGCTTTATTTTATTAAACACTGATTTAAATAGAAAGGGATACCATGTACAGGTACAGGCAAATGTCAGAAGCCTCTGAACCAAAACAGCTGAAGTGCCTGGTTTTAAAGGAGAAATAGCATGGATTATGGAAACCTGGTGGAATGGAGAATACCAATGGGATACGGTAATTTCTAGATATACGCTGTATGAAGGACAAGAGGAAAAATGGAGGTATTACTATGTATGTCAAGGATGGCATTGAGTCTTGCAAACTTGATGACCTCAAAGATACAGACTCCTCCACAGAAGCACTATATGTAGGATTACCTGACTCCAGACCTAATTTAGTCCTAGGAAACACTATCTTCCCCTAAACTAGAATGCTCAGGTTGATCTTGAGATTAAAAATGAAATCAGGGAGTTCTTTCTCACACACACACACACACACACACACAGAGGGAAATGTTATAATAGTGGGTGACCTCATCTTCAACTGTTCTACCTCTCACAAACAGGTCAAATTTCTCGATGACCTAAATTACTCTGGGGATACAACTGAAAGGGACACAATCTCGGATTTAATCCTGGATGGGTTGTCTGTGACCTGGTATGAGATATAAATGTTGCTGAACTGTGGAAACTGATCACAGCACTATCTCATTTACTATATATTTAGAGGGAAAATTATAAGTTATCCAGCATAGTAACTTTTGACTTCAAAAGAGAAAAATAATTTCAAAGGGTGAGTCAAAAGGGCTAAATCCCTTCAAGATGCTTGAAAATTACTCAAAATCACAGTAACAGAAGCTGAAATAATATGTATACTACAAGTTAAGCAAGGTAGGTCAAAGCCAAAGATACAACAGCATGGTTAGAGTAATGTCAAGGAAATAGAAAAGAAGGCTTCACTCAGAAAGTAGCATCCCTGCCCAAATCACGAAAACAAATGGGAGCATAAGCCTGCATGAGGAGAGCGAGAGGGAAAAAAGACCATATTACTAGCAACATCAAGGTGAACAATAAAGAATTCTTTAAATATATCAGAAGCAAGAAACCAACTAGAAGGGCAGCTGGGCCTATTAAAGGAATTGCAAAGGAGGTTAAGGAGATAGCGGAGAAGCTGAATGGACTCATCTGTCTTCACAGCAGGGGATACTGGGCTTAAGTTCCTGAACTTAAGTATTTTGGAAGGGAGTCAGAGGAATAAAGGCACATAGTGGAGACGAAAAGGTGAAATTCTCAACTTTACTGACAAAATGAAAGTGAAAATTATCACTTTCAGGCCCAGATGGTATCCATCAAAGAGTTCTTAAAGCACTCAAGTATGAAATTGCTGACCTTCTTGCCAAATTATTTAATATGTCCTTAAGATATATACAACTTCTGTACCAGAGGACTGGCAAATGGCCCATGTAATACCAATTTTTAAAAAAGAGATCTGGGGGGATCCAGGAAATTACAAGCCAGTTAGCTGAAAAGCTGTTCTGAGTGAATTGATTGAAAGCATTATTAAAGACATAATCAGTAAGTCGATAGGAGAAAAAGTCTTGCTGAAAAAGAATCAACATGGCTTCTGCAATCCCCTTGTGTTTAGTTCTGTCTCACTAAACTTTTAGAGTTGACAGTGTCAATAAAGATATGGACAGAGATTGGATACACATTATATACTTGGGCTTCCAAATGAGATTTCAGAAAGTACCTTATCAAAGACTTTTGGACACTTAACAGGTATGGAGTAAGAGGGAAGTCTTCTTATGGATTAGTGAAAGGTTAAATAGAAAGCAGAGAGTAGAAATAAACTAATTTCTTCCAGTGGAGGGATGTAAAAAGTGGGGTCCACACAGTTCTGTATTACTACCGTTGCTTTTCAATCTATTCATAAATGCTCTGGAATTAGAAGAGATCAGTGAAGCGACCAAGTTTGCTCATGACACCATACTATTTAGGGTAGTTAATAACAAAAGGGATTAAGAAGACTTCCAAAGGGATCTCTCCAAGCTGGGAGAATAGGTATCTAAATGGCTAATGCAGTTCAATGTAAACAAGTGTAGAATAATGCATACTTCAAAGTATAGGCTGATAGGAACTGAGCTAGCAGTGACTAATCAAGAAAGGGATATGGGGGAGGGGGTGGACAGCTTGATGAAAATGTCAACCCAGTGTCCAGCTGCTGTGAAAAAGGAATACTCCATGTTAGGCATAGTTAGAAAAGGAACTGAAAATTGACCTGCCAAGATCATACTCCCCCTATACAAATCTTTGGTGCAGCCATACTTAGAATATTGTGTTGGAATTCTGGTCACAGTACCTGAAAAAGTACATTACAGAGTTAAAAAAGTACAAATGGGCAACCAAAATGATTAAGGGATTAGATGAACTCTTTAAGAAACAGCTGATTGTTTAGCTTTGAAAAATGGTGAGTAAATGGAGACATGATAGAAGTTTACAAAATTATGCACGCTGAGGAAAGGGAGACTTTTACTTCCTGTTCTATAGTACTAAGACCCAGTGCCATCCCATGAAGCTGAGTGGTGGTAGAGTCAGGACAAAGAACAGAAAGTACTTCACACCGTGCATGGTAAAACAAAGGAATTCACTGCCAGAACCAGTGATGGCCATCAAGTCAGATGGCTTTAAAAACGGATTGGACAAATTCATGGAGAAGGTGGCTATCACTGGCTACTAGTCTTAAAGGCAGTGTGCTACCTGCAGTAACAGGCAGCATGCCTATGTTCTTGCTGGGAAACTGGAGCAGTTGGGGACAATTGTACTCATCTCCCACTTGAGCAATCCTGTGGGGAGGTGGAATGCTGGATCATTTGTCTGAGCCAGCATGGCTTTTCTTAAGTTTTTCACTCAAATAGTACTTCAGTAGTTATGGTAAAAATAGCATCTTGCCATGATTGTTTTAATTACATCTTTTTGTAAGATGAACTACTTTCAGCCAAAGCCTCAGCATTATGAATCTCAAGTTGTATAATCATAGAGGCCTGAATCAGAATAATGTGTAATTATTTTTGTATTGTTTGTATTTTGTATTTGTATTGTTCAGAAAACTTATTGATCAGCACATCACCAATGCCACATGGTGAGCTTTAAAAACGAGCATTTCAAAAAGTTTTTGAAATGACATACTCGTACAAATCTGCTGTTCCAAGTCAGAAATACTAATAGGAATCAACAAACCCTTGAGTCCATTTAATTCTTTAGTCACAGCCAGTTTTGTTCCCCAGTTTTTCGGTTTTACAGTTGGAAAGCACCTCATTTGTCCTCAGTCTCATTGTGAAT